AAGTATTGGGCAGCCTCCATGGTGTGTTGGGTGTTGAATCACGTGACTCGGTTGATCGTGTCATGCAATGACACTATTCACTGAATGATACGTACATTATTTTCTACTTCAACATACATTATTTCTAGAACCTTAGAGTTTATCTTATAGTATGATTACCCACAATATTACATTAATTCACTTTTTCACACTATTCACGTCGCCGTTGTAACAGCAGAAGATCGCACAGTGATGCAAGCAGCAAGCTTTGGCGACGTCGTCTTCGCACTGCCCCACGTCGCAGGCCTCGTCTTCGCCTACCAGCGTGGGCTCTACGAAGACGTTCGCGACCGGTTCCGGGACTACGAAGGCCTTGTCGAGCTGCATGGCACCGGCGACAGGTACATGCTGGACGTGGCCTTTAGCACGTCGCTCGCACGTGCGCCCGCGGCGCTGAGCACATGGCGGCTCTGTCTGCGCGCCAACAAGAAGCGCGATCCTCGCTTCCCACTGCATGTCGCTGTGTGCGAAGGCGACGCCCGCGCCACGCTGCGCATTCTCGCGTGCCGCCGGGACCTCGCGTCCGCCGGTGCCATCGTCGCCGCGCTCCTGCATGACCGCTTGGACATTGCCGAGCTGCTCTTGGACCTGCGCGCAAGCGCATTGCCAGAGCTCTGGTCCAACCCGTCGCGGATTCCGTTCTTTGAGCTCCTTCCCGACCTCGCTCTGCCGTTCGCGCAGCGGGACGACCCAACGGCGTTGGCACTCTTTCTCCGGCTCCGCGATGACGCATGGCCGCGCGATCTCGTGCGCGACGTTCTGCGCTCGGGCCATGCCCACAGCGTGGCCCACGTACTACAACACGTACCGTACGCAGCATGGCGCAATGACATTGCCGCCAGCAGCCTGCGTCTCAAGCCGTACCTCGCACAGCTTGATTTGCGCAGCGGCCGCGCTTCGCCTCTCACGCTCGACCGCGCGGCCGCCAGCGGGTACTTGGACGTAGTGGAGATGCTGCTCGCGCAAGCGCCTGCCAATAGCACTGTCCAGCGCGCCCTCGAGCTCGCGGCCGCCAACGGCCACCGCCGCGTTGTCGAGTGCCTCTATGCACGAGGTGCTAGCAGTGTGCAGGCGCTCGATGCTGCGGTCGCCAACGGCCACGTGCTCGTCGCGCGGTTTCTTCTGGTGCACCACGTCGACGGCGCCTCGTGCTCGGCCATGGACCGGGCAGCCGCGAATGGACACACTGCGATGCTCCTGGCTCTCGATGCCCTCGGTGTCTTGCGCTGGACCCATGCGGCACTGGAATCGGCGGTAGTCAACGGCCACGACGATGTCGTGAGCTTTCTTTTGGCCCACAGTGGATGGCAGGGCTGCCAACGAGACAGCGTCCTCGTCGCGCGGGCCATCGAGGCTGGCCGTGCTCGCCTTGCGGCGACCTTGCTAGCGTCCGGTCTCCCCTTCCCAAACCCTGCGCGTTTTTCGCTGAGCCGGTCGCTACGCGGCCGCGAGGCTCTCGATATGCTCACGCTTCTGCTATCGCACAACGTCCCGCTGACGGTGGCGGTCATGGACGACGCATGCGCCTCGGGCAACCTCGCGCTCGTGATGCAGTTGCACGTCCACTCGACGGCCGGGTGCACACATAGAGCGCTCGAGAAGGCTGCACACGCACAGGCGTGGCCGATCGTCCACTTTCTCTTGGACCATCGCAAGGAAGGCGGGACGCCACGGACCGTGCAGATCGCGCTCCAGCACGATAGAGTCGATGTGCTCACGCGGCTCTTGCGCACGCAGCCACATCTCTTCTCTGATAAGCTCGTCCGGAGCGCGCTCGAGTCGGAGGCGCCGCTCGCGTCGACGGCGCTGCTCTTGGAGGCTGGCTTTGGTACACCGAGGGCGCTTTTGCTGCGCTATGGAGGTCGCCGCCATACGGTGACGAGAAGCAAGATGCTGCTGCCGTACTGCATGCACGCCTCCGATGCCTACGGCAACCTGACGTTTCTTCTGAAGCTCGTGCTTCAACCCAGCCACCATCGACCGACGATCCTCAACTTGATCTCGCACGAGGTCGAGGTCCAAGGCTGGGCAGTCGCCAACGCCGTGACTAATTTTGATGACAGAGCACTGGCGGCTCGATTGAAGCGGCTGTTGGTGTCGGGCGACCGCATTGACTGGGCGCTTGGTCTTGCCGTGATAGGGCAGCACACGCTTGCTCGCAAGACGCACCCCCACGCAGCCTGGATGGACCATGTCAAGGACCCAGAGCTCAGGACGCTGCTGTAACGAATGTGTGCACGGCAACTTCGCAAGGACGCTGCTGCCGATGCATAGAACCGCGTGCATGGAACCTTCAATGTTTGCTGTACTTGCCTACTCTTGTGTTTGCGGGCGAGTCCTGGCTAAAGATGATAGAGCTGCGCCTTGAGCTCGACGTCCTCGATCCAAGCTGTCTT